AAAATATATATGAATTATACTATGTTACGAATTTGAATAGGAAATAAAATGTAACATTATTTTTGATAATTTAATGCTTGATTTGCAACAAATTATGCATACATTATTATGAAAACATTACAAAGTAACATGAAATTGGTATATGTACTGTTTTTTATATTACAAACTTTATAGAAAAATAAAAAAGATGAAAAGAAACATAATGATATCAGTTTGGGACGAAATCTTAGAATAATCGTTCTGGTATATTCAGAATAATTTTTTAAATGGATATAAGAAAGATATTGATAAGGACAATAAATATTCACAAGTAGAAAATTCGATTTAAAAAGATTTTTTTATTCGAAGCATTCCTCTTATTACTTGGTTGTCGCCTTAATCCGATTTCGCATTCATTTATATCATTATGATTAATTTTAGTACTAAAAGCACTAAATTAAATCAATAGTAAAATGTTAGTGTGTGCATCATATACAGAAATCGTTTTAAAAATGAAATTCTTTACTACTTTAGAAGATTAATGTTCTAATTCTAAACAGCTTTTATACTTAAATCATACAATAGCACTATCAACTTCCAAAGTGGTATTATTCACGGTTTCGCCATCGGAGTAAGTTTCTTTTTTAATTGTAAATATTACATATTTTTAAAGTTTTCACAGCTCCACTTCTTTTTTGCACAAAGAGTTTCACTATATTGTATATCAGCGATGATATACACATGATCATCGTAACAAGTCTCATAATGCAAAAGTCATCGATGACACTAAAGGCCACTGCATTTGCACGAAAAAATTATGTGTACAATGTAACTTTTATTCCAAATGGCTTTTTGAACACAGATTTTAAGAGCAAGAGTATGATGATAAATATATCCCATACAGCTAATGTATCTGCAATACACGAATGCGAATTTCCTTAATATTAAAGGAACTTGATAGCAGAGTGTGTTACTTTTCTTTTTTATTACAAATACATTATATGTAATTCCTTGTTCAGTGAATAGCGATGAGACCAGATTCCAGAAGTTTTAGTAATTTTGCAGCTATATCGGGATTTTGCAGATGGCTGTTAAAAAAAACAAAAGAATGTTCATTAGCATTAAAGAAGAAAATTATTAGAATTATTTTTAAGAAATACCATATTTCACGTGATATTTTCAGAGTACATTCTCAATAATATTATATTAATAACATATAATTTTATATAATAAAGATGTTTGTATTGAGAAAAATTTCAAAATAAGCAATTGAAATAATATTTATATCTATACATATGTTACTTACTCTTGTATAGCTCTTGGATCACTTTGCATTTGTTCTAAGATCAACCTCATTGCTGGATCTCGCAATATATTCTGGATCTCTGGATCCGCCATTGCTCTCTTTCTAACTTCTTCCGGATTCGAACTAGCAGACACGGCGCAAGAGCGATAGCCTTCTAACGCTTCGCTGTTTTGCGAATCTAATTCGAGGGCCTTCTGGTACGCCGTCAAAGCTTTTCCCTGCTGTTGCATAGCCTGTAGAATTTTTCCTTTCCTAATCCAGCCTTTGATGAATTTCGGATCCAACTCAACAACCTTCTCGCAATCCTTCAAACCGAGATCAAAAGCCGCCAATTTAGTGTAACAAGCAGCTCTGTTACTGTAATATTTCGGATCATCCGGATTTCTCCGAATCGCTTCGGAATAATGTTTTATAGCCGCGGGATAATCGCCATCTTTATATTTTTGATTTCCGAGTTCTTTTTCCTCTTCTGCTTTAACCGGATCAATATAAGCCTTTCTCTCTTCCTCCTTAATTATTTTATCTATATCCGAGAGTAAGGTTTTAATCTCCGGCGTTCTGTGTTCAGACATGGATTTTTCATAATACACCTTGGCTTGCTTCCAGTTCTCCATTTTCTTATAAGCATGACCGATTCTCGTGAAAGCCTTAGCTATCAATTTGAAATCCGCTCTGTTCTCTCTACCAACGTCAATAGCCTTCTCACATTGGGTGATACATTTCTCATATTCCTTCTGCTCAAAGTACACTGCCGCTATGTTCAGTAAATAAACAATTTCCGTTGGATCCAATTCCACAGCTTTGTTGTAATGCTGTAAAGCTTCCTCAAAGTTTTTCTTCTTGTAAGCTTCATTACCGAGTTTCTTCTCCTCTAAAGCTTTTCTTTTTTCAGGCGGAAGATTGTCTTCCTCTTTTTTCGGCTGGGGCTTCGGTTCTGGTTTTGGGCTGGGTTTTGGCGGTTCTGGTGGAACCGGTTCGGTTTCCATCGGTTCATCCAATCCTAATAGTACACTAAGGGTAGTGAGTACTCGGGGATCTTGAAGTTTAGTACCTAGATTCTGTGGATTGGATCGCAGTTCTTGCAGCAGCTTAATATATTCAGGATCAGACAGATATCCCTTTGTTCTAGGATCGTTTGCTAATTTGACAAATACATCCGGCTTGTTGAATGGGTTGGTTGCAGTGGCTGTTTTCTGGGCCCTCACTTCGGCCAGACCACTTCTCAGCTGTGCATTATTCGGATCCAATTGTAGACCTTTCTCATAAGCCTGGATAGACTCGTTGTATCTACCTAGATAGGCAAGAGCACTGCCCTTGCGTGAATAACCCTTTCCCCAATCTGGCTTCAAACTGACAGTCTTCTCGGCATCTTCCAGCGCCTGCTGATAATTCTCGGATTTTGCATATGCTGCCGAGCGGTTACTATAGAGAACATGATTATTGCCATCTAGAGCGATTGCTTCTGTGTAGCATCTAATAGCCTCATCATAATTGCCCGTTTGTAAAGCAGCATTTCCCTGTTCTTTCAGTAAAGCTACCTGCAAAGCGATATGTTAATAGAAAAAAAAACGGAGTTTCTCGAATTAATTCCAATTGTCAGATATAATAAACTATGATTATTGCTATTTATTATCAATCTGTCGCGGCGGAACTCCTGTTTCGTTTTACCGTGATTGGACAACTCATCATGGGAGAAATAATTGCACAGTTACGCGTATCCAAAAGAAACAACGAGAAATCGGGGGAGAAGGGGATCTTATCGAACGTGGAGAAGCGTTTCCGAGGAAGCGATTCCGATCCACACGCGTTCAAATCCACAATGCGATCTCACCTTATCATCCATGGCGCACACCAAAAATGCAAATCTCTATCTCGTTCCTGATGTCCGCCTATTCACTCGAGCGATAAACACGATTTCGACGATGACTCGTGTGAATCTTCGGGAAATTTCTTATGGTATTATATCGCACGCGTGTGCCGGCGCAGATTTCAGAAAGCTCCAGAAACGGACGAGTAGCGACCTCACGCTGCTCGCTGCTCAGTGTTGGGTGGTGTTGGGTGAAACATGTACTGGGTGTCTGTAAAGTTACCGCATTACTTTTGAATTTTAGATAATTTTAAATAATTTTCGTGATCATTAAAAATCACGGAAATAATAAAAAAATATCAAATGTATAATCGACTATTGATTTAAATCTTTAATCGTTTAAATGAATATTTTAGTAATACATTGTTAAATTTATGATTTTTTTTTTATGACAAATCCCATTATAACAAATCATCCCATTATAATAGATCTCAGACATTATATTTTTATAAGATATCTTATGAAACTATCAGAAAGATATCATGACAACTTTAGTGATAGGAATTAATTGTTAGATAAATATATTAATTATGTAGTGTTTATACTTAACTTTGTTTTTATTTATCTCTTATATATATATGTATATATTGTATAAACGAAAATTTTTATCATTACCCAACTTTACAAACTTTGCAACTATATTGCAATATCATTACTGCAATATATATAATTGCAAAGCTTGTACTGTAGTGGATCAATGGATGCCTTTCATCTTTGGTGACAAATCGATACAGGTATCTTGTCCTTGTCCTGATTGAATATCAAAAAAGATAGAACAATACTTGTATGGACTTGCGTCACTGAAGGCACTCAATATGATCTTGTTGAAATATATATATTTAATTGGGATGTTTTTAACTGCGAGTATGTCATTTTGTAAAATGCCATCTATTGAGACAGAGGGTAAACTCCAAAAAATCAAATAATCATTTTCTTTCAGAGATCTATTTATCAAGTCAAGATGTTTTTAAAGATGATGTTTTTAGGATGTTTTTGAGATAGGCATGTTATCTGAGAATGCTTCATAAATTAATATACATATTTATGACACTATTTTATCGTATGTATTATCATAAAATTACAACTTTTTTATAGCTTATTATTTTTATATGTAATCAAACATGTCTAGCATTTTTTTTTTTTGGAATTTTTTTATACAATAAATGTAAGGTAACTTGCATTTGCAATTTATCGAAAGAATGGAATTTGAAAATATTACAAAAAGATTTATTAAAAAATTTCATAAATCAAGTCGTGAATCAGAAATTTGTAAAGATATATTGATAGAAATAATTGATGGAAATAATTAATTATTAAAGTCTTTTCTTCTAAGATTTTTTTGGATTATTTAATTCTCTTATAAAAAAATTGTATGTACATGCACGTTTTATAAATACAATTTATGATTACGAGAAAATTTATTTTTTATAAAATATATATATATATTAACATTATAGACACCTTGTATATGTATACATAATACATGCTAAATAATTATGCAATCGCTCTGGTGGGAAATGACATTGGATATTTGATGCAGTAATCAAAGTGTAATTTATGGTGTCCGATATAATAATAATAATATAATATTAATTACAAGCATTAAGCGTTTTAATATTTGCTTCTACATCAACAAGGACTTCTTTTTTTCTTTTTGGATTTATATTTAACATTGTTTCAGATAAGTTTTACAAAATGTCCTTATTATATTTTAATATTTGAAAAATAATTAATAAATGATTTTGATAAATTTATAAATTAATGAAAAAAAAAATCAAAAGCAAAATAAAAAAGATTATAGATATTAGGGCACATGTGGCGCGCGCGAAGCATGCTCTTGATATTTTAGATTATATATAAAAAGAAAATAATAGAATAGATAGATTTCTTCTGTTTTATTCTCTCCCATTACATAAGATGGTACGCATGTTCGAATTCGCTTGAACATAAATTTGAACGCTTGAGGCAACCGAAAGCGCAGAGCGAGAAGAGCTCACATACATTGCTCTTCTTTGTGTGCATATCTGTTCCACGGATTAAGTCCATGACTTGTCCTTAACAGTTGCGACATTGTGATGTTTATGACAACGGAAAAAGAAGAATAAGGCGAAAGCTATTGCGTTGCTGCACATTTACAATAAATAGATTCAATTTTTTTGCCGACCATAAAAAAGCAGTTGAAGTATAATGACAATGGCATAGGACTCATTTTTTATAAACACTTCCCATGTAATTATTTCTTTAACGCTCTCTTTTTACATAAATTTCTTGTATCAAAAAGTTTAATTTTTTTATTAAAAATCCTTATCTTTCTATTTATGTTTCAAAGAAATTCCCTCGCTCAAATTAGGACTTTAAGCTTCATTCCTCTATTCCTAAAGCCTTATACCCACGATGCTAGAAATCGATCTGAATCTCGGACAAAAAGAGAATTGACCAATCGCATTGATCAAGATTGGCCGAATTATTCAAATACAATTATCAATTTTTTTCTCCGTCCGAGATTTCGGACTGATTTCTAGCATTGTGGACGCAAAGCTTAAGTCCATGACCACTTTCAGGCTTCTCTCCGCTTCTCTTCTTGAACGCAGCCATTGTTGCGAAAATAGATGGCGGCGAACAGGCGGGAAAGCTTGCGAGGAACCGATATGTAGATTGATCGATTGGAAAGATGCACGCTTTCTTGAAGACTGGAAAATTGGGCGCTCCGACAGAGGTGAAGAAACCTTCAACTTCTCGGGCCAAAGGTGACAAGAAAGACTTGACACCATGGGTGGAGAAATAGTGAGTGTGCGCTATCCAATTGGCAAGATTAACCTCTTCATCTTCACATAAAAAAATGTCCTTTAACAAGCTTAATTCTTTTTTTCTATTTTTATCTGTTATAATTTTCAACTTATTATCATAATTGTAGTTGTGTTTTCTTCTCGAAGATAAAAGGAATTTGGGATTAGAGGTTGTGTTTTTTTTCAAAGATAAAAGGAATTTGGGATTAGAAGTTGTTTTTTTTTAAAAAGAATATCTTGTTTACAGTCGACCAAAAAATGTCGACGATGTCGTGGAACAAACGGAAGTGGTGAATGTAATCCGACAAGCCATGGAACATGGAGACTTTCCTAACATGCTGTTTTATGGACCACCGGGTACTGGCAAGACCAGTATCATTCATGCAGCTGCTAGACAAATGTTCGGTAATATGTACAAAGAGAGAATACTGGAACTAAATGCCTCTGATGATAGAGGTATCCAGGTGGTGAGAGAGAAGATCAAATCCTTTGCATTACGTAGAGCTAATCCCAATAGACCAGAGTGAGTTTTTAATTCTTTTGCTATTAAAGACCATTATAATGACTTTATGAATTATCCCTGTATAAGAATAATCAATAGTGGATCATGATGTGATATAAAAGTAACTAACCAATAATAATAATGATAATAGTTCTTGCAGTGTCTATTTTTACAAATATATCTTTAAATAGTAATTATTGCTTTATTTTGATTATCATTATTATTATTTAAATGTCATAAGTACAACATTTTACAAACTTCCTTATTCCTTGCTTAAAAAATTTTGTCATTAATATGATTGTTTCTTAAGTGCTTGACACGATGATAAATTTTTTCAAAAATAAAATCTCAAAAATTAACTAAAATATATAGCATTTAAAAAATATTTTATATAATTTACAAAAATTATTTCTGACATTGTATCTCTATGTTACTAAATTTTTTTTTCATTTTTTGGGAATTCATATGATATTTTAACATGTTATTAAATAAAAAATAAATGCTATTTATTTACATCAAAGTATTAAACATTATTTATAATCAATGCCAATGATGAATCAGTAAAAGGTCTGATGACTGCAAAATTTCAGTATGTAATTTGTTCAAAAAAAGGCACATGTATTGTTATCAAGGAGGTCTAATAAAGTTTTTTAGTACCTCTTATTAGCAATAAAACAAAAAAGATGTTCATAAACAACAGAAAATCCATAAGATTAAGGAATTTTCTGAGAGGCATGAGCAAACAGTTTCAAATTTTAAGCATTTGCGTAAGTCATATAGATGTATAATTATTGACATTAATTATATTTTTTTAGATAAATTAGATTTTATTAAATTTTGTGATAAATATTAAATATGATTAAATTTTGAATTGATTTTTATAATTTGATGTAAAATTTTACAAATTAAATTGAACTGACGCGGATACTTAAGAGTTGATCATCTCTTTTGAACATTTCACGCACTGTATTGCAGTTTATGATCAAAAACATGTAATCTGAGGCATAATATAATTCTTATTTACTTAAGTTTATTAAAAATAAGTTAAAAATAAGTGGCAATAATAAATACTGGATAACAAATTGGTCATATAATTAAATAATTGAATTTTATTTTGTAATTATGCTAGAGACAATAAAATAAATTTAATTACTTTTTGTAAATTAATTTTTATATTTACAGTGGGAAGAAATGTCCACCATTTAAAATCATTATATTGGATGAGGCAGACAGTATGACCGGTGCTGCACAAACGGCTCTTCGTCGAATCATGGAAAAAGAATCACATAGTACGCGTTTTTGCCTGGTATGCAATTATTTGTCACGAATCATCAAGCCGATAGCATCACGTTGCACCAAGTTTCGGTTCAAGCCATTGAGCGATGAAAAAAGCATTGCCAGGCTCGAGTACATATGCAATGAAGAAAATCTAAAAGCTGACAAAAATGTCTTAGAAAAAATTGTTATAGCATCGGGTGGTGATTTAAGACAGGCTGTCATGTGTTTACAATCGATCACACGGTTGAAAGGAAAGGATTATGAAATCACTGTGGACGATGCACTCGACGTTATTGGAGTAAATATTCATTTTCATGAAAGTTATAAAAACTTTTTGTGTAATAAGATTGAGTAAAATTAGATTGTACATTTATTATTTTAGCTGATTCCTGATGATCATATTAACGCATTATGGAATGCTTGTGAAAAGGGGAGTTATACTGAAATTCAAAAATTACTTGAGAATTTGCTGCTAGAAGGATATCCGGGATCACGGGTATTATCTTTATTATTTTCATACTCTATTAAATTATTAAGTACCAACGAAATGTTAAATAATTTATTGATAGCATAAAAATAATATTTAAATAATTATTTTATAATATACATATTATATCAGTTGAAATTACGCTACATTCTAGGTAATTGAACAATTGAATGAAAAAGTTATTTTTTCTGATGAATTTACTGACAAACAAAAAGCGATGATTGGCGACGCACTTGGGTGTAAGTGATTTTTCTTTATATATAATATATATATATATATATATATATATATATTAAAAAAGAATATATGAGTAGAATATAAATAAAGCAATACATATTTTATTTTTCTTTTTTTAGGAATGCGATTATCGTCTAACGGAAGGAAGTGATGAGTATATACAGCTTTTACAAGTGTTTTCTACTATTTTAGTAGCATTTAAACAGTAAGACATCAGTTTGCTTTGGCGTGTTACATATTTATATTTGTAAGATTATGTTGCATAGTACTATAAAGATTTTCTATATTTTCATAGACTATTTATAATATTATAATTCAACACTCTTCAAAATATATCAATTTAAATAAGAGAAAAGAAGAAATTTTTAGATTATAAATAAATTTTAGTTTTTCGATAAAAATTATCATTGATCCTTATTGCAGTTTTGACAATTTGCGAAAATGCATCTCGGACTACAGTTAATTACGATTTTCGATTGACGGTTTTATTTCCAGCCAATCGCGATGCAGTGGTCTGTGCGATTGGTATTAGAACCGTCAATGGGAAGTGTAGCCAGTAACTCGTAGTCTGATTCGGGCTTTAAATTCTATGCACAATAAGGAACAGAGAATAAAACCTTTGTCCACAATACTAGAAATTGATCCGAGATTTCGGCTATTAATTAATGGCTATTTCAGCTAATTTGTATATACGCGATTGATCAATTTTTCTTTTGTTTGAAATTTCGGATAGATCGATTCTAACATCGTAGACAAGGCTTTATAAATTTGCTAGGAACATTAACATCTATAACTAGGTAAAGAATAAAACTAGAAGTTATAAATTAGTTTATCTAGTATATTTTATCTAAATATATATGTTCCTAAATATATTAAGGGTCGGCAGGAGAGACTATGGAGACCTCTATCGGAGATGAATTCCTTTTCATCCATATTACGGCCAAAATACTGCGAGAAAAGTTATATAATTATGATATTTATAATCAGAATATTTGCCTGACGAAAGCTACAGAGCGATTTTTGTAAGAAAAATGTGTGAAAATAAATAGTTCATTTTATGCGTAAATAGATTTGCACTATAGGACAATAAGGTGCAAATATTTTCATCTATTGTAAATTTTTTTTTAAGAACAAAATTGCAAAACCCGCTCTGTAGCAAGAGTCATAATTTTATAAAAAATACATAGAAAAAGGCTCATGGTAGAATATTGCTTCTACGAGATGATATATGGGTGTACTCAAATATATATCTGCACTGTAAATAAGGAGTAGATGGTTACATTTATTTTAATTATTTAAGAGCTAAATTGCAAAATTGTGGTAGGTACCTTTGTAATTGTAAAAGAAATTATCTTAGCAAAGTTTCATGACGAACATCGTTTCTATAAAACAAAATATAATTGAGTACAGATACATATCTGCACTGTAAATAAGGAGTAGATAATCATTTTAGATCAAGTCGGAGTTAGCCCGTCGCTCCTGCCGACCCTTAAGAACACCAGCGCCACAATTCACTAGAGAATCTAGGAGTTCCATAGTAGCCAATGCCACAAATACGCGAGTGAAATGTCCCTATAATTTATTTGATATTTAATTCCTTTAGCTTTATAAAACAAAATATTATCACATAGAATCGAACCGTCAGATATGTATCACGATAAGCTCTCGAAGGATTCTCGACGTATACGAAAAGGAAGACTTTCGATTATATAAATAAAAATGATTCCGGCGTCGCTGGAAACGGGGCTCTCAGTAGGCCCAACATCGTCGGCGACGGGCGCGTTCGCTGAGCACCACTGACGTTCGGCGTGTAGGGGCGTCGTTGCTACTGCGTGCAATGTGTATCGTGTAGGCGTTGGCGAGGAAGGAGGCGAGAGCCGCGAGACCGCTGTCGCCGCCACTCGCTCTCTCTCTCTCGGGGACGTGTCGTCCGGGAAGAGAAAAGAAAGACAGCGTGTGCTCGTGTTCGGTAACCGGTGCCACGTTCGGCCGCACGTGCGTCATTTCGTCCGCGAGGAGTCCTCTCGTCACAGGCGTTTGGTTCCCTTTGGTTCCGAAAGAAGAAACGGCTCTAACGCTCTCTTGCTCTCGCTCTCCGCCCCCCCCCCTCCCTCTCCCTTTCCAATCAGCGTATTCTGTGCCTCTAAAGTGCTAGTCTAGCCTCATTTCCTGACGGAGCCACGTCTCCGCGTCCCGATAGCACGGGTGTCCCGGTGATTATTGTTATTCCGCGAGTAGTGGTCAAGGAAGGTCGCCGCCGACGCCTCTCCCCCGTGCGAACGGCGTCCCCGTGGTGTCGTGTCGCGTCGCAAAAGAAAGGGGAACGGACGGGACGGGCGAAGGAACGGGGGCGTGTACGACGCCCGTCCTCCACTGCCGCCGCCTGCAACATCGTCCTTCGCTACGTCGTTTTGGAGTAGCGACGTTTCGGAACACGTCGCTCTACTCGGGACAGCTCCCTCTCTTTCTCTCGCTCGCTAGCGTAGAGGTCGTGACTTCCGGAGAGAAAGGAGAGACAGAGAGAAAGAGAAAGAGAAAAGAGAGAGAGAGAGAAAGAGAGTGAGAGGATTACTCGCGAGAGCGGAATATTGCGAGAAAGGCGTGCTGACCGCGTTCCTCGCCGTGGCGAGCAGGACCAAGCGGCAGTAGGTGCATTTTTGTGATTCTCGTGACACTTCCCGACGTTCCTCATCTCTCCTCAAAGCGGGTCCACAACTAGCCGCAACAGTCTCATTGTCCGATACAAGGATACTCTGTCCACCTGTCCCTTCAACGGACGATTCATTATACGGGATAAAGGAGCATTAAATACGGGTGGACCGAAGGATATTTTCGGCGGCATCAACAAAGATCGCGGTATGTTTCCGTCGAAAGGACGTTAAGAGGAAGAGGAGAAGGAAGAAGACGAGCCGCGGATCTTCTCGCGAGAGATGTTCGGCGCCCTGAAGGGAGATCCGACCGGCGAAGCGGGCGGCTAGTTGCGGCGGTGCATCCTGCCGCATCCTGCGCTCCTCCCGGCGAGGTCGACGATCCTGACGGTCCTCGCAGACGTTACTTCTCCTTCGTGAAGAGATACATACATTTGGACGTCGCCAAAATTTATATATTGTTCGGAAAATCCTCTGTTATCGGGGAGAAAGGACTCTCGAAGCCGCAACCGGTGCTTCCATGTGCGCACCAAGATCCTGAGGGTGAGCGTGCGAGGCTTGACAAGACCTCGAGCGGAGGTCGAGTCGTCGACGTCGGGAAGTCGATCGCTCAATCGGATCGAGTGCGATCACACTCGGGAAGATCATTCGAAGATTTTCGGAAAATTATCGGCGTGGCCATCCGTTCTCGAGATCGTCCCACTGTGTGTGTTGCCGTTTCGGACGTCCCGTTCCTGCGTTGGATCCTGCTGGATAAAGGCGTGGATGATACCGGTGGACCCGCGCGGGGACCACACGGCAGAAACGACGACGACGACGGCAGTCACGAGACGGATCGTGTTTCCTGCGGCAGTAACGGGTGTCACGGCTGATACGTGGAATGTGACGGGGGACGACGCGCGCGGAGTAGCGAGTCGTAGAAAAGGTAAGTCCGCGGGGAGAGAGACGAGAGTTCCGCGAGTACGCAACGTGTACGCGTGCACACGTTGGGATACGTTGGTATAACGCGGTATGAAGCTCGAGTTCCCGAGACTGCTCGATTGGCCGAACATGCTCGAATTCCAAATCCTCTCGAGAGACTCACGGGAATACATATACCGAGTGTCCTATTCGAGTATTCTCTTTGAGCAATCGTCATAGTATGGGACTCTCAGCGCGGCCGGCCGGCCGGTTGGTTGGTTGGTTGCTTAGTTAGTTGGTTGGTTGGTTGGTTGGTTGGTTGGTTGGTTGGTTGGTTGGTTGGTTGGTTGATTGGTTGATTGGTTAGTTGGTTGGTCGGTCCTTCCGATATCGAGCAACGCGGCAACCTACCGCTTTCTGTTTAATAATGGAATGAAGGGCGTCAAACTTGAGAAATGCAAATGCATAATGCATATGGAACTTTCTTATAACTTTGCATGGTCTTTAATTTAATGAAATTTTAACATACTTCATCGAGACTTTGATCCTAATACAAAGAGAAGAAAAGTGTATCGTTATGTATACTTTCCTTGGAAAAACCTGGCAAATCTGGAAGTCTTTGAAATTTTCTTCTTTTATTTTTTGAAAATCAAGAAATCTCATGGAATTTTAGAGTTTAGAATTTTTAAAAAGTTTGTCTTTAAATTTAAATTATGCTCTTCTTTGAAGAAATCGGTAAAGTTATGAAAAAATTTTTATTAAAAATGATTTTATTTTCATGATTTAAGTTGTCGGCAATCCATAAATTGTTTAAATTAGCAAATCAGTACAACATATACATTCGTTTTCTTGTACATTATATATGATTTGTGAATTTTTATATAGAAAATTTTATGATGATCGCTTGATCGCTCTCATCAGAGCGATCAAGTCAAAATATGCTATATATTTTATACTTAGATATTAAACAGTTTTTCTTTAGAAAATTTTAGAGTGCACACTAATATAAATTTATTTCAAAGTTGCATTTGAATTCTATAATTTTCTTTTGAACTTTTTGAATGGAAATATCTGAAAAATTCAAGAAATTGTCAGGAAATATTTTTATAAAATTTAAGTAAGCATATTAATTTTATGTAAAACTTTAAATCTTCATATATTTTTGGAATATTAAATTTTATACTCATTAAATTTTAATTAATAGAATTTCATTAGGATCTATCGTGAAATACAGAGAGAAAATGTGTGTGTGTGTGTGTGTGTGTGTGTGTGTGTGTGTGTCAATCTCTTTGTTAAAATTATTATATTAAAATTATAATATTTCCTATTTACGCTTAATTAAAATTATAATATTTCCTACTCGTACTTAATTAAAATTTTCTACTAAATAATATTTCCTACGTTGGATTCTTTCTTTAGGTGTCTTTAAATCATAAATATTACATACATCTTAAAATCTTCGCGTTTCGCAGATTTCAGTTTCCCCAAATTCTTGCATATTTAAAATCTGAAATTCTTTTCAGATTCAAAGAGCCGTCAGGCTCACGCTAAACGCTTCGATTATTCGCTTTTGGCTAATTTTGAGTTGTTAAATTAAATAAGCATTCAACGCTAAATCTGAAGTTAATAAGTTCGAACGCGCTCTCCTTCGCTTCCAGCGGTCTTCTCGCGATTGGTAGTCCCGAATTCCCTTTTCAGTTATAAAATGAAAACTAGAACGTACGAGCGTTTCGAAAATAGTCGTACTCGTCGATTGATTATTCACGTGGATTTCACGCGGTCGCGACCCCGGTACACCGCGTGTTGCACCATGAATGATTATCGCGAGATTCGGTGTTATTTGCATTATCGGTTTAGACGGGACCAACCAATCACGGTGGGCAAAATCCAGTTAATTATGTTATACTGATGAAGCTATTCGTCGTCCTCGATCGACTTGCAAGATGAAAAAATAGGTCTTTGAACTCCTGCGTTATCGTTCTCAAATTAGATCCGCGCAGACGAATAATCGACTGTCGTCCACACGAAAGAGCAAACGAATTATAATTAAAAATAAATTATGTCTATTTATTAATGCATCATACTGATATATAAGAGAGATATTCATCATGGAATTATTAGTAAGAAATTTAATGTAACAAATAATAAGATAATTAATGTAACAAAAAACACATGCATTTATTTATCTTCCGATCCAAGATTAATAGGATTTATCTCGGATTTATAAAAGATAAGATACAATAAAAGATAAAGATACAAAGAAATTTATACATTTTAGTCGTACATTTTTAAAGTACGTAAATATCAATATTTTCGAGATGCGATAAAAAAATTAGCGAAAAACTTGATTTATTTATTCGATGACATTGGACATTTCGGAAAGTAAATAAATCACTACGCAAGTGGAATAACACAAAGGGAAACGTGTCAAAATCAAATTTCGTATTTATGTAGAATAATCTCTAATTGCAGTACCGAACGAATTCTAAAATAATCCCTGAGACCCTCGCGTGTTTTAATTAATTTTAAATCGCGATCAATTAATCGTCAAATGACAGTCGATTTGTATAAATCGCATTTAATTTAATTACATGATATGTAATAAAAGAATCATCATGATTTCGCAAATTTATGAGTCGCGCGTTTAATTATCATCAATCATTGTGTAGCCCTCTTATATAATTAAATTTAAAAAAAACCAGTAGTTAAATATCGGCGCAGTTAAATAGCGTCCTCAGATTTGTCTCGATCGCGTACCAAGCGTCCGCCGCGCGACAAGAGAAGTTCCGTGCGGCAAAGGAAACGGCATTCCGGCGAGTCCAGAAAACGAAGTTCGTCTTTCGCTTTATCGGACGGTGCTTCGTCGCGGGATCGATAACGAAGCCAGGCGTATTTATCCCCGAGAGCAAGTCCAGATCCGGCGCGCCGCGATAAAGCTCGGAAGTTAGTATCTTTTATCTCGGGAAGAGAACGGGGCTCACGCGCGCGCGAGAGAGAGAGAGAG